CAATAAAGAAATTACGCTCTTAAAAAGTTAATTAAGTTTAGGCTACAACTTAAAAAAGAATACGACATCGACATCGACATCGACATCAACATCCTTGCAGATTTTGCTGAGCAGAGATGTGAGAAGGTTTTGGATGCCATCATGTCTTTGTGCAACAAAATCCGTCTTCTTACAAGACAGGGCGTGGCTGACTGTGAATCAATCTCCACACTCGCAATGGCTCGGCAAGTCCACTAGTTACAGATTGTAATGCAAGAGTAGAGAGTCCCTAAATTTTTGCCTATTCAATGTCAGGTCCTGCTCTTCAAGGGCTACGGCGTTGAGCCACGAGCTTGCACCATTGTCTCTGGCCTGCATTGTTGATCTTAGCAAGTCTAGCTACTACCTGCGGTGCTATCATTAACTTTGAGGCAGCGTACTGCTGTGAGACTTCAGCTTTCAGGTCTGGTATACCTAGACCCCCAGGGCAAATAGTTCTCGCAACTCATCAGGGAGGGGCTCCGTCTGGCGAAAAAGAACTGGAAGGAAAATATCATTAATCGCTTCCTCAATTGGTTCCATATAGTCTTTAAAAGACTCAGTTGTACGCATAAAATATGGATTTTTCTATTTGTAGCCCTTTGTGAAGGCGACGTAGGCGGCATGTGATTGACTCTTTACAATCTCAGCCAGCAACTCGATGTTTTCCCTCCAACCCTGTACTTTTCCACTACATCATTGGTCTTTGTATTCCTGTGATCCAGTGACTGTTCCTAGGTGTCATTGACCTTCTGTTGTTATAATTCTGACCTCCTTTTCAAACATCAACTCGGCCTCGTCTGCTAGATCTTGTGTCTGTACTACCTGGGTTTACCATTAGCCAACTTTTGGAGCCATTGATTAGGTAGCCAAATTTCTTTCCCTCTTGACTAAAAAGTTTATACCAGTTGTATAACAGTTCCATTAGGCTGCCTCCTGCCGAGTCATCAACCAGCCATACTTGCTTAACTTCAGGTATACGCGCTCTCAGGCTTGGAATCAAGATGGATGTGTTGATCGCATACCATGGCATGGCTAGAGGGTCACCCTATGTTGTCCCTTCGTGGGATAAGATTGGGGCAAGGGGGGGTACTTTAGGAATTTCTGGGTGGGGATGTGCCGCTGGGACCCTGGAATCCTTAACCTATACCAGAGCTAGTTGAGCTGAATTTTGCTACCTTATACTAGAGTAAACTTTCCAAATCCCCCCTATCCTAGAGTAGCTGTTTCCCTAGTCTAGATAAAATCTTACACCAACTGATCAGTTTCCTGAAAAATGAACAAACGCTCTGATTTATATAGCCTATCCTAGAGTAAACTGCTTGAAAACCATACCCTTCACAGTGGCACATACCTATCAGTAGCACATATGTGGAGTGCCCCCCCCCGGGGGATAAGATCTCTACTCCTCCACAGGTGAACAATCTCGAGGGACTTCTGTACGTGTTGATGATGTACATGGAAATTTCCGGACAAGTTATTTGGATGTTGCTGGCGTCAACCAACGGGATTTCGTCTGTACGATCATCATCTAAAATCTGGGCCATGGCATGTATGGCGACCTCGGCACCCGCACTGTAGCCAATGCAATTTTGCAGGAGGCCAGCTGCCAGCATGATCTCCTCCTTTAAGGCCCTGTTTACAAGGGGAGGGTAACCATGGTGCTAGGGTTACCCTAGCAAGAGGGTTACCCTGGCACTCGCACCTTTCTTCTTTTTACACGACGCGTTTACAAGGCAGGAGGGTTACCCTGGCAAGCGGGTTACCCTACCTGCCTTGTAAACGCTCTGCTAGGGATAACTCACCTACCCTGGACAACTTTCCTCCGTTGACCCGAGTGATAGGGAACCCTGCCTGTGAACTGAGGTTAAAGATAGGGAGGGGCCGGGGCGAAGGGAAGAAGGCAGAAAACCCTGAGTTCAGCTTTCGTGTGGCTGCATATTTTTCTGTACGAACTACAAAAGACGCCAAAAAACAGCCCGCATTTTTAGTATGATAATGAAAAGGAGTAACAAAAAAATACTGTAGCTAGATTACAGAAGCTGAACACGTGAATACGCGAAGCGTGTTTTCATAAGTACATATTTTTTCTTGGCTATATTACTTTACCCTAAAATAAATGTTATATTTTATCGCATGGCTTCCCTGTTTTCAAGAAAAAGTGTCCACTAGTTCCCCATAGTTATTACTTTAACTTAAACTTAAGGAAGGCAAATTTCTTGTAAACCAGAGCTAACCGTTACCACGCTTCCTAGGGTAACCCTCTCTTATTGTAAACAGGCCCTAAGAAGGTGGATATGGTCTCATTTGTCTGACTCCTATTGATCGAATTCCTGGGTTCTTATCCAGTGGAATGAGCCTGAAGGAAGTGTAGCTTTCCAACAGAGAAGGTTGCTAACATATTTTCAGCAGATTTCTGGTCAACGCGGCTATTTCTTTTAGGCTTATTTTTTTTTTTTGATCCTCTCCTCTAGTTTAGACAACCCAAAATTTTTTAGAATGTATTTAAATTACCGGGAAGGCGCGGGAAATTCGCTGGTCAAAACAGTGCAGGCTCTTTCTTTTCTGTCACGTAATACTTGGTTGTAAATAATCTTGATTGAGACTGACAAAGATCTTCGAGCCACTTGCATTTGAACAAAAAATGAAGATAGTGGGAGATAAATTAGTTATAGATATAAGTAGAAAATTCTGAAAGGCTTTGGAAGGCAAAGAAGTGGATTCTAAACAAAGATTGTCTAGTCACGCAGCATGCAATGCATGACAGTTAGGCGTAGATCGACAAATTAGATCGACGGTGGTAAGTGAAATTAACATTATTCTTTTTCTGAGGTTGTAGCCTAAACTTAATGAACTTTTTAAGGGCGTAATTTCTTTATCGCTAGAAGGAAGAATTTCCCATCATTGAATGTTGTTTTTAGATGTGCGAGTTGACCTTGCTTTATGACTGGCATATACTGGCGTGATTCAAAGCTTGTCAACAACCACGCGCCATGTGGCCTCGAAAATTCTGCCCAGGAAATTAAAAGCAGCTTGGTTTTGTCACAGTAAAGACCATAAACACTTGAATGAAGGACTTCTGTATAGTTAACTCGTGAGAAGAACAATCTTTGATTTTGCGAGAAAGTCAAAACGAGGTCACAAACATTACGATTTTGCCTTCGATATTTTGGTGACGTGCATTACTAATCAGTGTGAAATCTTTAAATTTCTCGCAAAATCTGGAAGGTTTAAGCATTCATTAAACTCCTCGATTATTATTCTTGTATAACGGGCTGGAAAGTGTCGGTTTAGTAACTTCAGCGGCCCTTAATTGCTGAATTATAGAACAGGTGAAGTGGAAATAAGCTTGTTTTAGGTGCAGTTTTCAATTGGCATCTGACACCCAAAAAAGGCAGAGCCCAGAAATGTTTTTTTATGTTTATTATAGACCAAAATTATTGTCATAGCTTTCTGGCAGGGAGAGATATTTGATCTCAAAATAAGCAAATATTTGAATGGCTGAAAAGGTGGTCCCATATTCAAGACCGGTGATTGACAAGCCGTCAATCAAATTGACTGAAACTTACATCCTTACATTCGTCAACAATGCATCAACATATATACAAACCCTCATAGTCAAAGGTTAAAAACAGTTTTCCTGAGAGCTTCCTACTTTTGCCTGTTATTAATGCACTTTTATTGGTAAAAAATCTAATTAAACCAGTTGGGTGGGCTATCTCCCACCATAAAGATCCAAACTATGAACCAGTTTGTCATTTTGAGTTTTTGGGGTAGACCCCTTTAAACTGGCCAAGTTTCATCGAAATCGGAGAGATACCATGTAGCACACCTGCCTGGTGCACCCATGGACTCACTCTTAAGGCATGGCTCAATTTTTGTTTTCGGCCCCCCGCGAAGATAAACTTGTTTTTCTTCTACGGCCACGCATTTTAGGCCCAGTTCAAACGTCGAATTTCACATGTGCCGAATTTAATTGCTATTTTAGTCGACTAAAATAGTTAAATACGGCATTTGATTCAAACGTCGAATTTAATTCACTGAACTTTGTCGAATTTAACTCTCTTCGCTGTCAATACTCCCAGTAATATAATAATAATTCACTAAAATTCATTCATTAAGTTCGGCACATGTGAAATGCGACGTTTGAATCAAAAGTCGAACCTAAGTCGAATCTTCGACTGTTTCAGTCGCAGATGCGGCAAACGTTGCATTTAACTTAAACAGTCGAATTTAATTGATTCAAACGTCGCAATTCACATGCATTTAACTCTCGCGTTAAGTTCGGCACATGTGAAATTCGACGTTTGAACCGGGCCTTAATTCTAAAAGTTGCAAAACTCTTTCGAGAAACTTTCTTTCGAGGTGTTGAATTAGTTAGGGTTAAAGTGATGTAGTCACGTTAAACGTGACGTCATAATGATATTCAAAAACAATTTCAAAATGGGGTAGGAATGGTTGATTACAAGTAAGTTTAAACCATGTGTAAATGATTATTTTACCGTACGAATTTTTTCTGTGGCCGGAACGGAGAGGATTTTTAATTTCTTTAAAAGATATCAACAGGTGAAAAGTGTCATGTGACCTATTTTGCTTAATTACTAATGAATTAAAAACGTGAGTCAACCATTCCGGCCAAATTCAAGCGAGAAATGATGATACAATAACATAAATACTGTATTTAATACATACTGTGTGGCATTTCGCCACCCCATTTTTAGTTTTCTTTTCTTTCCTGGACTCGACAATGAGTGGTCACGTGACACAGATATCTACCGGTTTTATCCGAGGTTGCCAAATTTTGTAAGGTTCTGATAAATTTTCACAAAGTTATGACCATTATAAGATTTTATGCAAATTAGCTTCAGGCCATGCGTTAATATGCTTGAGTCTGTCCGAGGACCCTCAAGCGACGATGAAATGTGATCTTCGTGCAAGATATAATAAGGCAAGTGCTTAGCTCCTCGTGCGTTCAAAATAATTTGTGGACTTCCCACGTTCGAGTTTATAACCTCCTCTTTTCAAACCAAATTATCTATAGAAAGTTCCCTCTTTCTTAAACTTAATTGTAATATATTCCTATACATAATTATTTGCGTTCTACTGATAGGTTTTCTTTATAGTCTTAAATCATTATGTATGTATTTTTATTTTATTCGCGCATTATTGTAAAAACTAATATAATGTACATTTGGTATTTGTAGCTATACATGAGCAGGAGATCTCAGCAAGCTCTGCTGAGCCTTTCAGAGGAGATTCCCAACCTTACCTATCAATTAAATTACTAACATATTGTTTGCCACTTAGTATTACAATATAAACTCTATCGAATTTTTAATGAGATGATGCAAGCTTATCAATGTTAGGAATTTTCACGTACTGTCACATGCCTTTCAACCTTTTAGACGTTCTTTTAATTCTTCCAATATAGTTGTTCCTAACTTAAAATTCTACAAGAGAAACCACCTTTTTCAAAAATGCAAAGAAACCTAAGAACTAAAAGATTTCTTGTAAATACAAGACTGCATGCAGATACACGTTTTATAGACTTAGATTTCAACAAACAGAACTCATGATCATTTACTTCAACAAGTTAACTGCTTTTAAATGTAAGTAGTTTTATTCTGACGATCCGGGTAACCGAAATCTTTCGTAACTTTGTATTCCTGGGTAAGTCCATTTAACCGAAACAGAATGTTTCGTGGAATCACAGCTACGATAGCATCAGCTTAATTTACAATTTTAAATCACACCTGACAAGACAACAGAGTCGTTACGTATAAGAAAAAGCTTTACATTTTGAAGAAAACCTTATTGTTTTCGTAGCTATTTCTTAAGCCAAAAGCTTATTATTATTAACGTTTCTAACTGGCTTCCTTATTTTTTTATTTAAGATTAACTCTATTTCCGTAGACCTATTTGCTAATTATTCTGGTCTTGTTTTTTTACCTGTTTATGTTTTAGAAAAGACCCAAATGGGCACTGTTCAAGAAGCTATTCACCATGGCATGATTGCCGCGGATTTTCTTTGGACCACTAAACGAGTTGTCCAGGCTATCGAGCTGTGGAACGAGTGCTTAACACTACTAAACAAAAAAATCTTAGAAAACGAACATCAACTTGCCACAATAGTGCGTATAGTGCTGAACAAGAGGCTGTTTTATGGAAATGCTGCTATTACGAAACTTTCACCAGCTATAGAATCTGGCAAAAAGCTTTTAGTCCTACTTCGTAATCTTAGGAGAAAAAAAGAAGAAGGTTACACAGCCTTGATGTTATCAAAACTGTACTTCCAAAAAAATGAATACCAGGAAGCACAAGCAGTCCTCAAAATTGCACTCTGCGTTTACAAAGAAATCGAAGACGAAGACGGAGAAGCAACATGCTACGTAATCCTAGGAGCTGTGTTTCTATCTGTCGGAGAATATGCCAAGGCTGAAGAATATCTTCATAAAGCACTTACCATCAACACAGAAATTGGCGACAGAAACGGAGAAGCGACATGCTACGGAAACCTAGGAAATGTGTTTGAATCTGTCGGAGAATATGCCAAGGCTGAAGAATATCTTCATAAAGCACTTACCATCAACACAGAAATTGGCGACAGAAAGGGAGAAGCGACATGCTACGGAAACCTAGGAAATGTGTTTGAATCTGTCGGAGAATATGCCAAGGCTGAAGAATATCTTCATAAAGCACTTACCATCAACACAGAAATTCGCGACAGAAAGGGAGAAGCGACATGCTACGTAAACCTAGGAGCTGTGTTTCTATCTGTCGGAGAATATGCCAAGGCTGAAGAATATCTTCATAAAGCACTTACCATCAAGACAGAAATTGGCGACAGAAACGGAGAAGCGGCATGCTACGGAAACCTAGGAAATGTGTTTGAATCTGTCGGAGAATATGCCAAGGCTGAAGAATATCTTCATAAAGCACTTACCATCAAGACAGAAATTGGCGACAGAAACGGAGAAGCGACATGCTACGCAAGCCTAGGAAATGTGTTTGAATCTGTCGGAGAATATGCCAAGGCTGAAGAATATCTTCATAAAGCACTTACCATCAAGACAGAAATTGGCGACAGAAACGGAGAAGCGACATGCTACGCAAGCCTAGGAAATGTGTTTCAATCTGTCGGAGAATATGCCAAGGCTGAAGAACATCTTAATAAAGCACTTACCATCAACACAGAAATTGGCGACAGAAACGGAGAAGCGGCATGCTACGTAAACCTAGGAGCTGTGTTTCAATCTGTCGGAGAATATGCCAAGGCTGAAGAATATCTTCATAAAGCACTTACCATCAACACAGAAATTGGCGACAGAAAGGGAGAAGCGACATGCTACGTAAACCTAGGAGCTGTGTTTAAATCTGTCGGAGAATATGCCAAGGCTGAAGAATATCTTCATAAAGCACTTACCATCAAGACAGAAATTGGCGACAGAAAGGGAGAAGCGGCATGCTACGGAAACCTAGGAGCTGTGTTTAAATCTGTCGGAGAATATGCCAAGGCTGAAGAATATCTTCATAAAGCACTTACCATCAACACAGAAATTGGCGACAGAGAGGGAGAAGCGCGTTGCTACGGAAACCTAGGAGCTCTGTATGTACATGTAGGAGAATATGGCAAGGCTGAAGAAAATCGTCATACAGCACTTACCACCAACACAGAAATTGGCGACAAAGACGGAGAAGCGTCTCGCTACCTAAAGCTAAGAAACACATCTCAAGCCTTATCGGATCTCTGGTCAAGCATTCAAATTTACGAAAAAATGCTTACTTCTCTAGGAAGCAAAGATAGCCACAATATATCATTTTTTGACAAGAACGCGTCTCGCTATCGGCTGTTTTGTTCATTGAGTTGTTCTTGTGGGAAACCCTATGAAGCAAAGATAGCCACAATATATCATTTTTACACGCTGCTGAACTTGGACGGGCCAGAGCTCTAGCAGAACTTATGTCAAATCGCTACTCCATTGAAAAAGAAATATCCATCAACCCACAATCGTTTGTTGGCATCGCGGAAGTAATTAAGAAAAATGGCAACAGCACCTACCTCTACATCTCCTATGACTACGATGACAATATATTTTTGTGGGTTTTGAAACAAAACAAACCGGTAGCTTTCCGAAGAACGAAACTTTGTGAAAGCTATGTTAGCAAGCATGGCAAAATCTCTGTGTATGACCTGTTTGGAAACGAAAGCTTATTAAGAAAATTTCACGTTTTACCTCAAGAGCAATGCGAAGACCGATCACTCTTCTCTTCATTCGCCAACCAACTTACAAACAAATCAAATCTGGAAGATAGTCTCTCAACCTTGCGTCCTCTTTTAGATGAGGGAGAAGTATACACGGACCCTGAACCGCCAACACTTTTTCAGGTTTATAACTTGTTGATTGCTCCCGTGAGTGACTTGCTAGAAGGATCTGAAATCATTGTTGTTCCTGATCGCTGCTTCTTCCAAGTTCCGTTTGCAGCATTACACGATGAAAGTAGCCGCTATTTATCAGATTCTTTCAGGATACGAATTGTCCCTTCTTTGACGACTCTCAAGCTCATTCTGGACAGTCCAGCCGACTCTCACAGCGAAACTGGTGCATTGATTGTGGGTGAGCCAAGAGTGACGGATGTGTATTTCAAGGGAGTGTTAAGGTATCTCTGTCCATTGCCTGGCGCGAAAGGGGAAGCAGAGATGATTGCGAGACTACTACCTAAATCTCACCTTTTAATAGGAAAGCAAGCAACAAAGCAGGCGGTTCTTCAAAGAATACCCTCAATGAGCCTCGTACATTTCGCTGCTCATGGTGATGCCGAAAGAGGAGAAATTGCTCTTTCCCCCGCTGACTCTACAGTGGAGTTTCCACACGAAGCAGACTACTTGCTGTCAATGACCGACATTTCACAAGTTAGACTGTCAGCCAAACTGGTGGTCCTTAGTTGTTGCCATACCGCACGTGGACAGATCAAAACAGAAGGCGTTGTCGGAATCGCTCGAGCGTTCTTAGGATCGGGTGCACGCTCAGTGTTGGTGGCATTGTGGGCCTTACAAGACAGAGCAACAGAGGAGTTCATGGGAAGATTCTACGAAAACCTTGTCCAAGGGAAAAGTGCAAGCGAAAGTCTTCATCGGGCCATGAAGTGGATGCGAAATAATGGTTTCTCAGAAGTGAGGCAGTGGGCACCTTTCATGCTGATTGGGGATGACGTGTCATTTCACTTTGGTGAAGAAAAGTGAAGGTAATTGTTTTCTGACAATTAGAGCCATAGGAAGTCTGTCAGGTCTTTTTGTATTACAGTTTTATCAACTTGGGTGCGTTTGGTACTTTTAATTACCAAATAGAAAGCAGTATTTACCCTTAAACGCCACATTATCGACTACATCTGAAGTTAGCTTTTACTATGACTGAGGTAAAATATCAATTAACCGCTCTTTAACATTCGACCACACCTCTGTACTTATCAGTCAACCCGTACATATGCGGGGCTTTGCATTTGAAAAAAAAAAAAGCACTAAGCCCCGAATCCCTACAACAACACAGAATGATTTAATTCTTTTCTCTCTTTTCTGATATATGAGGCACAAATAATTCAATATTCTTTTATTTGCTACGGTTCAATATGATCGTGAGGGTTTGCTGACAAACTTTTTTCTTTCTGAATATAATAGGAAGAGAATTCCAGTTATGAATCCGAACCAAACAGCCCAGGGAAGGTTTTTGTTTGATATAAAGATAATCGGATCAAAAATATTATGGCGGAGATCTAGATCTCAGAATTGATCGAAAACACTGCAAAGTACAAATTATGGACTGTGTATGGAGTCTTGACCGTAACTAGAGGGCTTTTCGCTGACACTGACTGAATTACAGAAGTACACTGGTTCTAAACTTGGACCAAAGAGGGAAGACCGAGATTCCATAGGTCATCAAGGCAAGAAGTTTCAAACCTATTTTAGCTGTGCACCCTACTTTTCATTTGTGATGCCAATTGATTGGAAAGTTTTAGCGGTGAGATAAACTCAAATAAGTAAACCTCTTCCGCCACGATAAAGCCGGAGGATCCCTCCTCCATGTAAAATGAACCTAAATGCCACTTAGCCCAGCTGGAGTCTTTTGTGTTGAGTAAATGTGTTTTATTAATTTTTATGTTTCTTATACATTACTGTTGCAGGTATTACACTAACGACACACCATGGAATAACGAAACAGCCCTTCCGCAGAATTCCAATGAGGTAGTCCCCGGCGGATAATGTAAAGGATCAATCTCTGCAGCATACGAACATTGATTAAAAGAATTACTGTGAAAGAGCACTGACTTGCTTGGCCCAGCGGTTTATCTTTGCCGGCTTAATTATTTTTCCCACTAATCTTATTTTGTGTGTGTGTGTAGGTACCTTGAGTACTCTAATCTCTAAAATGTCTTGAAAAGCTCAAATCACCAGCTTTGTACATGTAGAAGTGTACATCGGTAGCTCGGACAATGATAAAACTGTAATTGTGACACGAATAACGTTAGGATTAGCTAATTTCCCTGTCTTTTTAGGTAATTTGCAAAAAAACCCTACTTCCTTAATTAGTCCCTAAGGCTACAAATAAAAAATACTTTTTATGTAAACGAGATTTTTTTATCGCAAATTGAAGTTTTATTACAATGCAAACAACATTGCAAGGTTTATAGTTTAGTAGAATTGTATATATTTTAGAGCCAATCTTTTTGTGAACATAGAAGCAGTAGTTTTGCAACCTTGCATTATGAAATAAGGTTTGACGACTCAATTAAGTCAAATAAAAGCCTAGCGAAACCAATTTGTCCTAACTCCAAACTAGCCCAGTTGTAAAGTAAAGGTTATTTCATTTTATAATCTTCATGCCTGAGCATAGGTTAGTATGTTAGTATAGAACAGTAGTACTTGCTTTAAGTATCCACCTAAAATACAAAGATTTGGTGGTCCAGTTTTCAGTAGAAAAGTGCTCTGAGTAGGAAAACTAATTTTAGTAGTTCGAACAGCATGTCGCGTATCCGAGAAGGTCGCACATGGAGGTTTGATTGTAATCTGTATATATGTAATCTCACCAGGTTTTTAAACTGAAAATAAAGCGTATTTGAGATAGCAAATTCAACGACGAAACTTTATTGAGCCTTTCGTTATTAAGACCACTAGTGTTTATTTTTAATTATCTATTTGCACTTTAACAAAAAATATTTGCTACAATATCAGAGAGAAAACGGCAACGTCAATTTGTACGTGACCAAGGTATCAATCTTATAAAAACAATAATAATTGTAATTTGTAATTTGTTTTCCCACGGAGCACTAAGAAGTTGTTAAGAATTCGCTTAAAAGTGTCAATGCGTTGCGGATCGATTTAGAATTTGGAAAGGTTGGTTTTTGGAGAGAGGGGAAAACCGGAGCACCCAGAGAAAAACTTCTCGGTAAGGAAGAGAACCAACAACAAACGTAGCCCCTTTCGGTCGGAGCCTCCCCATAAAGGCCATTTCCCCGGGGGGGCTAGGAACGCAAGTACCCTCACCACTACGCCACTCTTGCTCAGTTTTCGTCAGAAGGCGATTCACTTGTTGTATCTACACAAAAAACAAAGTTTATAGCTTTAAGGAAATGTCGCCTTGGGTCTAATGCTTCCCGTTTTCTAACCTGAGATCAGGCTTTCTTTTTTTTTTTTTGCTTCTTTGCGTTTACCAAACGCGAATCAAATTTTGGCGGGAATAATGTCTCTTTTGAAATCAATTTTAGGGAAAAGAGAATTTTTAAGTATGTCCATGTTCAGATGGCGCTTCCTAAAAAACTTTTTAAATTAATGTTTTTTTTTGTGATGGAGCTGTTGTACCTTTATTTAACAGCTGCAAATAATAAAGAATTTACTGGTATTATATACTACTCCATGAGAAATTTCTGCAATTTGATCGGCTTAGAGCAGTGGTATTTCAGCTTAACTGAAATACCTACAGTTGGAAATTACAAACCTTTTGCTGGTAGTAGTATAAACAAATGAGATATGTCCAGAAATGCACGCATTGGCGAAAATGGCAGAAATGGCAATTAATCGCCAAAATCGCCAAACTATAAACAAAAATTCAAATGAGATGGCAAAGGGGCCCTTTGCCAAGTGGCGATTTTGGCGAAAATGGCGTATTTGGCGAAAATGGCAGAAATGGCAATTAATCGCCAAAATCGCCAAACTATATAATAAACAAAAATTGAAATGAGATGGCAAAGGGGTCCTTTGGAAAGTGGCGATTATGGCGAAAATGGCGTATTTGGCGAAAATGGCAGAAATGGCGCTTAATCGCCAAAATCGCCAAAATCGCCAAACTGTAAACAAAAATTCAAATGAGATGGCAAAGGGGCCCTTTGCCAAGTGGCGATTTTGGCGAAAATGGCGTATTTGGCGAAAATGGCAGAAATGGCAATTAATCGCCAAAATCGCCAAACTATATAATAAACAAAAATTGAAATGAGATGGCAAAGGGGTCCTTTGGAAAGTGGCGATTTGGCGAAAATGGCGTATTTGGCGAAAATGGCAGAAATGCTTAATCGCCAAAATCGCCAAAATCGCCAAACTGTAAACAAAAATTCAAATGAGATGGCAAAGGGCCCTTTGAAAGTGGCGATTTCGGCGAAAATGGCGTATTTGGCGAAAATGGATGAAATGGCAATTAATCGCCAAAATCGCCAAACTATAAATAAACAAAAATTCAAATGAGATGGCAAAGGGCCCTTTTTGGCGAAAGTGGCGAATATGGCGTATTTGGCGAAAATGGCAGAAATGGCAATTAATCGCCAAAATCGCCAAACTGTAAACAAAAATTCAAATGAGATGGCAAAGGGGCCCTTTGGAAAGTGGCGATTTCGGCGAAAATGGCGTATTTGGCGAAAATGGCAGAAATGGCAATTAATCGCCAAAATCGCCAAACTATAAACAAAAATTCAAATGAGATGGCAAAGGGGCCCTTTGGAAAGTGGCGATTTCGGCGAAAATGGCGTATTTGGCGAAAATGGCAGAAATGGCAATTAATCGCCAAAATCGCCAAACTGTAAACAAAAATTCAAATGAGATGGCAAAGGGGCCCTTTCGAAAGTGGCGATTTTGGCGAAAATGGCGTATGTTGCGAAAATGGCAGAAATAGCGAAATTAATTAATCGCCAAAATCGCCAAACTATAAACAAAAAAATTCAAATGAGATGGCGAAAAAAGGGGCCCTTTGCAAACACGATGGCAAAGGGGCGAAATGGCGGCGAAAATGGCGTATTTGGCGAAAATGGCAGAAATGGCAATTAATCGCCAAAATCGCCAGACTATAAACAAAAATTCAAATGAGATGGCAAAGGGGCCCTTTGCAAAGTGACAATATTAGCGAAATTGGCGTATTTGACGAAAATGGCAGAAATGGCGCTTAATCGCCAAAATCGCCAAACTGTCAAAAAAATTCAAATGAGATGGGAAAGGGGCCCTTTGGAAAGTGGCGATTTCAGCGAAAATGCCAGAAATGGCAATTAATCGCCAAACACTCCAAACTGTAAACAAAAATTCAAACACGATGGCAAAGGGGCCCTTTGGAAAGTGGCGATATTGGCGAAAATGGCGGAAATGCGATTAATCGCCGAAATCGCCAAATTATAAACAAAAATGCAAATGAGATGCCAAAGGGGCCCTTTGGAAAGTGACGATTTTGGCGAAAATGGCGTGCACTAATCTTGTATCTTTTCATCAGCCACAAAATAAAATTAAAAAAAAAATTAGAGTGCATGTTGGCCTCGTTCTTAAAACGTGTTTTGGCAGAAATGGCAAATTACTCGATGAAATACCTAATTTATCAAGACAAATTGAAATGACATAGCAAAGGGTCCCTTTTGAAATGGCTATTAATTGCCAAATAGTTAACCACATATTAATATAAAAATGTTTCCAATAGTATAATTGAATACTAATAATGACAACGCTACTGTAACTTAAGTGTCATTAATCTGTTTTTAATGCTTTTACCTTTAATTGATAACCTCTTGTGATTTGAAATTCGTCCCAGACAAGAGTGTTTGGTCGGGAATTACCACTTACAACTAATTTCTTGCTCAATTCAAATCGAATGGCCAACGAGTTGTATTCGATTATCAGTAAATGGTAATCTTCGTAATGTTCATGGCAACTTTCTTACCAAAAACTCCAAGATAGGTATCCTTAATTTTCCAGGCTTGTAGGCATTGTTTGAATAGCGACAG